ACAGGCTGCCTCGGGAGGCACCTTCTGAGCCTAAGCCAGGAAGAGGTGTGTGCCCTCCACGGTCCTGGCTGTGTGCCGAGGGTGCGTTCCGGTCATAGGGCACTCCGGGAGAACACAGCAGGGGATGGCTGGAGAGGTCGCTAGGGCAGCCAGTGACAGGCCTGGAGTGCCCAGTGAAGGGGTCTGGGCTTGACGCTTCAGCAGTGGGCAGTGCTCGGAGTTTTCGGGGCAAGGACCCGACCTGATGTGTGTGTTAACTGTGGAGTCTAATCTTGTTCCACTGAGTCCCAAGTGGGGAGGGAACCCCAGGGATATAACTTCCTGTGGGCTGCGAGGCTTCCACAAGGACTGCGAGGGCCTGTGAAAAGGAGGGGCCCTCAGCCAGCTGTTTCTGCCAGCAGCCTTGGCAGGCAGAGGGCATTATTTTTTCAAGTCCCCAGGTGACTGTGCTGTGGGTGGTCTGAGCTCCGACTGGGAGGTTAAGTTTATGTCCTTTTTTATATTTATTAGTGTGCTATCTTGTTTTCTTTCAAGAAGAAAATCAGCAGGAAGGACTTTACTTCTTAATACCTTCCCACCCACTTGGTAATTTTTATTCATGTGGCCACCAGCAATTTTCAAATAAAACTTTAAAAACCACCTCTTTTACCAGCAAACATGCTTTAGCTCTGGTGCAGCTCTATTCCCTCCGTTAGGCGAGGACAGCGAGGGTTAACGAGGTCCATCAAGGAGCTGACCCCACACTCTGCTGACCTGAGAGGGAGCTGGACCCCCATTTCCATCACCCTCTGATACCCCCAGGCCCTCTGCACCCCCATCCTGCTGTGGATTCCACTATGGCAAAGCGCAGTGAATTAAAGCCGCAGCTCTGTCTGTGGCTTTCTGTCTCTGTAGGGAGATGTGGGAACCATATTCTGGGGCTGCAGAGCTTAAATGAGAGAGAGCAAACATTTTCAGGTGGCTCGAATATTTTATTCTATGGGGAACACAAAAATATTATTAAACTTTCCAGTGTATACATGTATCATAGCTGCCCCTCAGTATCCAAGGGGGATCCCAGGGCTTCCTGTGGATACCCAAACCTGCAGTTGCTCAAGCTCCTTATATAAAATGAAATAATATTTACATATACTATTTTAAAATCATCACCCCCATATTTTAAAATCGTCTCTACATCACATATATACCTGATACAATGTGCTGTGTAGTCATATTATATGGGTTAGAGAATACTGATTAGAAAAAATTGTACAAACACAAGTTTAAATCATATTTTCAACCCACAGTTGGCCACATCTGTGAATGTAGAACTTGCAGATCAGGAGGGTGACTGTACATGTCTATTTTAGGAAATTGACAGATCAAAAGAAGTAAAGTGCTCTGCATACTAACTCAGAGACAACTACCTTCCAGGCCCCTTCATGCCTGGATGTACCCTTAGATATGGGGATACTCCCAGAGGTACGATCACATGTATTTGCTGTTTTATAGTCTCATGTATTTTCATCTATAATAGAAAATTTTTGTAGGCTAGTGAATATCATCCTTTTTAATTGGCTGCATAGTATTCAAATTATGTAGGTAATTCCCACCATTTATTTCCACCACCCAGTATTTTTATTTTGTGCACTTATTATTGCCTTAGAATGGATTCTCACATGTATAGAGCTGTGAGAGAGGCTGTGTCCATTTTCAGTTTTTACATAATTATGCAAATGTGTTCTCCGCCTGGCCTAGAAAGATTCATGCTCTCGCTGCAGTGCATACAAGTGTGGACTTCCCCACTGTGGGGAAGTCCTAAATGTCAACATCAGACCTCAGTGACAGAAGGGTTCCACAGCAATCTTGGCCTGTAGCCCCATGCAGATCAGCATGGCCACATAACCCATGTTGGTGCCTAACCCTCTGCTGTAGCCAGAGTTTACAAGGGAAAAGATTTAATACAGGACACACAGTTTATAGGATTATTTTATAATATTCACCCACAAAGTCAAATGCAGAAGAGTGCACATGATCTGTCCACACACTAGAGACCCAAAGATTCCAGCTGAGGGCCTGGATCCCATAACAATATCCTGCATCAACCCAACTGGAGACCTAGAGCCCATGACAATGTCTCATGCAAGTCTGTATCAAGGATCTACACTGGGAAGGCCCAAAGGTCAGTGGTGCAAGCTAGAAAGTCTGTGCCAGCTTGATGAAGATCTGTACCAGCAGCCTTAGGGATCTGCACTGGAGCCAGAAAGCGATGCTGAAAGTAAGGCCCAAAGCTCGCCAAAGAGAACCGCAGCCATCCTCAGCGACAGTGTGGACTGGAGCTCCTCCACTGATGATAACAGCTGAGTTCATATCAGGAAAACCAGCAAGACAAGCTTCTCCAGGAGAATCCACACCCTCTTCCCCTCCAGTTCTCTTTTTATGCTGTTGGCAACAGCCCTCAGGCGGGCCTTCCACACCCAGCACCACGCTGATTCAGTTCATTTGGATGTTACAAGTTGACCATTAGTTAATTCACCACACTCTCTTTCTGTCAAAACTTAGACTGGAAGACTCTTCTAGAGCTGAAGATAAATATCACCCAAGCCAGCCCTTGCATCTGATAGAAAAGGAAACTCTGGCTTGGAGAGGTCAGTGGCTTGTCCAAGTAGGGGTGACATACAGGACCCCCAGGCCTTTGTCCTTCAGGCCACTCTTCCTCCTTTCCCTCTGTGAGACTACATGCCCCTACCACACATGCCATGCCTGTCCCCTTTCCGGCATGCAAGGGATGTTTCTTCTGAAGAGAGGTAAGATCAAGCATTTGTTTCTTCTGTCCAGGATCAATTTTTCTGCTATCTCAGATGCCCTGACAGCAGGAGATGACACCATCTCCCCCACAGGGTGCATGGTGAGCATCACAGATCCTTGGAACAACCCTTAATTCTTCAGGTGACGCGCCCCACCGCCAGTGTGTGACATCTGTTGCTGTCAGCTCCTCCTCCCAGAGACTGTTGGCTTCTGTCATTGTGACAGGTGCTGCTTTCCCTCCTGCTTTTCTAAGTGTTCCTCCCGTGACCCCTGCCTGCCTGTCTTCCTTGTCACTTTGTGACATTATTTCCAATGGCAATTCTTCACTTCTCGGCTCTCGCCTTATCACAGTCAGCCCTTCTCTGTTAAGGCCCAGTTGTTCATTACAACCTGGTCCCATGTTGCCAGCTGCCTCCTAGTTCCCTTAGCTCCAAGTTTCTCGGCTGCGGCAAGAGTGTTTAGTAGCACCCCTCATGAGGTACCAGTGGAACCCACTCTGTTTTGACAATCAAAACTATCCCAGACTTTGCAGCTATCGTTGGGGGGCAGAATCACCCTGGTGGACCACTGCCTTAACCAGGTTCAGCATCGTGAAAATGAAGTTTCCACCTGCTCCTCCGTTCTCCCCAACTAAAACAGGGCTGCTCAGACACCCTGAGATTCCAGCGTGACTTTGTGCATGATAAAGGGCAAGTAGACGGAGGGGAAGGAGCCAGGAGGAGAGTTGGAGGAGCCTCTGATCCCTGGGCTCAGGTGTGGGAAACTCTCATGGCCCCATTGACCTCTGCGTGTAGACCTCATTTCCTTTTCAGCAAAGCATTCCAGTTGAGAAGAGTTGATAGGTCTTTTGCAAAAGGGAAGGACTAAGAGACAAGAGGGATGGGGAGGGAGAGGAGGGGAAAGGGATGAATAAAGAATGAAGGTGTGTTGTGCATATTCCAACCCCTTGCAATGACTGAATTGTTATGTACTGCAAATAGGTATTAATAGAGATTTTTTAAAAAAAAAAACATTAAAACCAAAAAGAACAACATAAAGGATGGATAATAGGAAACTGGGAGAGGGATCATTTGCAAATGGGAACAGGAAAAGGATCTAGGGAGGGATGGAGGGAGAGGCTGTCATTGCTGAGACAAAATACCCAATGCCCAAAACTAAGAAAGTAAAGGTTTATTTAGCTCACAGTTTGTGGAGGTTTCAGTCCATAATCAGCTGGCTCCGAGGCAGGGTGGCAGGGCACAGGGGCAGCAGTCTAAGGCAGGTGAAGACAGCAAAAGCAACAAGAGCAAAAGGGGGTAAAGCAAGCCTCTTTGCCTCTCTTATATTATATGCAGGCCGTCCACCCGGGAAGGGGCGGTCCTTTACACCCACCCTGTCTCCGTGCCTTCCGCTTCCACAAGCTCAGGATATTAACATAGTAAGGACCCTGGCTCCCTGCTGAATTAAACTTTTAAACTTCTCAAGTTGACACAATGTAGCAACTGTTACAATGCGTTACTTGCATGTACCAGCTCCTTATGATAAGTATAATCATTATGAACTGCCGACAGGTACTGTACTATTAAAATTTTTTTATAAAGGAGAGAAAGCTGTTGTGAAAGGTGAACTTTTGTGGCATCCCTGCTCTGATCAGAGTCTTCATGATTACCTGTGTAGTTCTAGGGCAGAGTTTAGTTTATGTATATAGTTCTAGGTAGAGAACTTCTTTGACATGGCTTTTGGCTGCTTTTTTCTTTTCTTTTCTTCTTTTGAGACAAGGTTTTGCTGTGCAGTTCAGGCTGGCCTTGAATTCACTTTGCAGCCCAGGCGGGCCTTGAACTCGCAGTGATCCTTCTACCTCAGCCTCCCGAGTGCTGGGATATCAGGTGTGCACCACCACACCAGCCTGGCTGTTCTTGTTGAAGACCTGTGGTACCATATGGTACCAAGACCTGTGGTCTTGTTGAAGACCATGTTCCCAAGACCAGGCCTGGCACACACTTGGAGTTCAGTAGATGAGGGTGGAATACATCATTTGAAGAGTGATTGTCTCTGGGTGGGTGATACCTTTAACTTTTTTTTTTTTTTCTTATTTATTTTCCAACTTTTTTACCTTGGGAGTACTTGTTACTTTATAAGAAGGGAGGAAACTCCATGAACATTTTCCCCTGATTCAGAAAGTGAACAAGCCCTGGAACAACCCTGGCCTCATTCCACATGTCTTGCCTCCCTAGGTCTGAGCTCCCAGAACCATGGCCACCAGCGCTGTCCCCAGTGATAACCTCCCCACCTACAAGCTGGTGGTGGTGGGGGACGGGGGCGTGGGAAAGAGTGCTCTCACCATCCAGTTTTTCCAGAAGATCTTTGTGCCTGACTACGACCCCACCATTGAAGACTCCTACCTGAAACATACAGAGATTGACAATCAGTGGGCCATCTTGGATGGTGAGACCTGAGGGCAGTCCTGGGGAGGGGGCGGGGCCCGGAGGAGGGGGCGGGGCCCGGAGGAGGGGCGGGGAAATGTGGTGGGCATCAGAGGGGCAATATGAATTTGGTTTTTTTTTTTAAAGAATAAAAGAAGGATAACATAATAATAGGGGGGACTTAGCAAATTACAGACAAAATGGTAGGAAATTATCAATGGTTATCGTTTTACATATTATTATCTACAAAATAGTTTCTCAGGAAAACAAATAGACAAATAATAGTGAGTTAGAGACAAAAGAGGTAGGAGATTATCAAGAGTTGTTGTGCTATACTTTGGTATCTTCAAAGTGGCTTCTAAAGAAAATAAATAGAGGTATACATGAGTGACCTATTGAAAAATCATTAACTATTCTCAATGGTTGTTGTAGGAAACACATAATAATAAACATACATTATGAAATAGGATAGGAACATTACAAACTTAACACAGTTATGGATAGATTAGTAGGAGAATATCAATGGCTGCTGTAATACGTGGTGGTATCTTCAAAGTGGTTTCTCAGGAAGACAGAGATATGCAAGAAGGATCTAATAAGTAGTTATAGCCTAAGGGTTGTCAAAAATAGCATATTATCTCCTCACCAGTGACTCCTTTCACTGAGGTATGATGGCTGGAAGGAAGGCCAGGATTGAAAAGAAGGACCGAGAAACTTGCACCTGTGACTAGCAGTAGGCTGTTTTCTTGTTCCTCCATAGTCATGATTACCCAGGACTCCTCGATGGAGATGACGGTCTGGCCAGAGGGAGAAGGCAGACCATGCCCCAAGCCCTCTCATTCCTGTTGGACTAACTGGTAGCATGGGTCTGAGCTCTGGGGCCTCCACCTCAGAGGGCAGACCGATCTCCAGTGGTCTCCTTTGCATCCAGGGCATGTCCCATGGGGCCTCTTAGGGCAGTTCCTCTTGAGGTAGCCTGGCTTTTAACAGTGGTAGCAGATGAATGCAGTTGTTGAGTTCTTCTTGGAGCCCCGGGAATCAGACCTGGGATCTGTTTCGCTTAGTGGTGCAGCAAAAGCAGCTGCTTTTTCTCAGTCTCTTTGTTTTCTCTCCTTGGCCTCCTCCTCATCATGGCTATAGAATACTGAGGAGGCAATTCTTACTAACATCTCAAGTGAGCTATCTGGGGTGAAAGCCATTCTTTGTAGCTTTTTCTCTCCAGCTTCCCATTGCTTTGGGACCCCACAACCAGTTAGTGTCCTCTCCCCAACAGTCAGCACAGGCAGCAGGAATCCTGCTGCAGACTTCTCCAGAGCTTCACCACAGCCTGTCCTGTCAGGGGAAGAATGGCTTCCAGTGAGTCTCTGCAATATGAATTTGTAATCGGGAAAGCCTTCACAGAGGGCTTGAAAAGCTTTGTGAAAATCAAAATGTACATTCAGCAAAGAGACAAGGCTGGACTCGCGCTAACTCCGCAGTGTCCTGTTTGTTATTGCTTGCCTGACCAGAGGCTCTGATTAGCAGTGACAGATGTCTCTAGCTAATAGGAAAGAGGAAAACAAATTGTTATTAATAAAGGCCGCTTATTTGGTAATTGTCCTTTTGAGGGGTGGATCTTGCCTCTGCCATAATGTTTCTAGTTTGGTTTAAATTTGTATTTGTCAAAGTATAGTAACCAGGGAACTTATTAGACATGAAAATTTTCAGGCCCTTACTGATTCAGAAATTCTGATGAAGGGGTCCAACAATTTGTTCAACATACCCAGGCAATATGAAGTGAAAAATCACCACTCTGTTTTTTTTTTTTAACTGATTATTATTTTGTATCACCCAAGTCTTTCTCTTAAACAAAGACCCATTAATCATAGAACGTCGGGTGGGGAAGGGCGCTTTGAATACTGCTGAGATACAAATTTTTACAGATATGTGCTTTACAATTTTTTTTTTTTTCCAGTCTGTGGCTTGTTTTTCTTTCAAAGGCCAGAACTTTTAATTCTGACAAAGTCCAGTTTATCAGTTTGTTCTTTTACGGATTGTCCTTTTGGGGTTGCATCTGAGAAATCTTTGCCTATCCCAAAGTCACAGGTTTCTTTTTTTCCTGTTTCTCCTAAAAGTTTAATGGTTTTACATTTAGGTTTATGATCTATCCTGAGTTAATTTTTTAAGAATATGGCATAAAAATAGAACAAAGTTCATTTTTCTATGAATGGTCATGGAGTGATTCCTGAGAACTATTCGTGAGAACTGTTTGTCGAAAAGACTGTCTTATCCCTGCTGAGAAGCTTTTGTGCTTCTAGTGAAAATCTACTGTCTGTATAATCTGTGTCTTTAATCCATTCATCCTAACACCAGTACTGTCTTGGTTATATTTCTCTCATTGCTGAGACAAAATACCCCAACACCCAAAGTTAAGGAAGAAAGGTTTTTTTAGCTCACAGTTTGTAGAGGTTTCAGCCCATAATCTGTTGGCTCCAGGGCAAGGTGGCATGGCTGAGGGGCAGCTATTCACTGTGGCAGAAGATACCAAGAACAACCAGAACAGAAGGGGGAACAAGCCTCTTTTCCTCCCTCATATTGTATGCAGGCTACCCACCTTCCCCTCCGGGGGTGTAGTGCTCACAGCCCCCATTCCCAGCACTAGAGAATGAACTAGTTACAAACTCTAGATTCAGTCCCCTCTGAAATCCCACCCCCATGACCTCAGGAGGCTTTGGGGGGACATCCAGACACAAACCATAAGAAGTACCACACTACCCTGATAACTGCTGCCCTTTAAGTCTTGAAATCAGATAATGGTAAACCTCTAGCTTTGTTCCCTTTCAAAATTGTTTAAACTAGTCTGGATCCTGAGTATTTCCCTATGAATTTTAGAACCAGTTAAAATTTTGGATTAACTGTGTAGAACCTTTTAACCCATGAATGGAAGACTGTATCTCTTTCCATTTACTTATCTTTTAAAATTTCTTTCTTTCTTTTTTTTTTTTTTTTTTTTTTTGCCTCTCTAGTATAAGAACCTGAAAGAGTAAATGAAATCTGAAAGGCACAATAGATATTGTGAAAGGTTTTAAAAAATTTCTCTCATCAATATTTTGTAGCTTTGAGGGTTTTTTTTTACATATTTTACCTGATTTATAATATCTGTATTGATTATATTATAAATTATTTTTGTAGTTTAATTTTAGTTTTTCCTTGTTTGCTGCTAGTGTATATAAGTAATCACTTTTACATATTAATCTTATGGCTGTATGTTGCTATAATGGCTTCTTTTAGGTTCCACTGGATTTTTCTGCCCAGGTAGTTGTGTTCTGTGGTAAAGGAGTTTTACTACTTCTTTTTCTAATCTGGAGGTCTTTTATTTCTTTTTCTTGCCTTACTTCAGGCCTCTAGTATACTGCTGAACAGAAGTCCTGAGACTGGACACCCTTGTCTTGCTCTTAAGGGGGAAGCACTGAGTGTGATATTAACTAGATTCATTACAGAAGTCCTTTATCAAGTTGAGTAAGTTGCTTTCTATTGCTAGTTTACAGAGAGCTTTTAATCAGAAATGCCTTTGGGTTTTGTCAGATGCCTTATCTGTGTGAAAAATCATGTTGTTTTTCCTCTTTGGTTAATAAATACATTGATTTCTTTTCCTATTCCCTTCCCCCACCTTTCCTTTTTTAGGGGGGCAAGGAGAGTGAACCCAGAATCTTGCACATGCTAAATAAATTTTACCACTGAGCTATATTGGTATATTTTCTTTTTATTCTTTTCTTTTCCTCCTCTTTTTTTTTTGGTACTGGGAATCGAACTCAGGACCTCATGCATGCCAGGCAGCTGCTGTGCCCCTGAGCCATATCCCAAGTCCCTACATCTCTGTTCTTGAGGGATAATTGGTCTGTATTTTTCTTAACATGTCTTTGCTTGATTTTGGTATCACAGTAATCCTGGCCCAATAGAATAAGTTGGGAATTTCCCCCTTTTCTTCAAATTTCTAGAAAAACTTGAGTAAAATTGGTATTGTTTCTTCTCTAAATGTTTAGTAGGATTCACCAATGAGACCATCTGGGCCCAGAATTTTCTTTGTAGGAAAGTTTTCTTTTTAAGAATTTAAATTTTATTATCACTTGTTTGTAATACATGATGGTTACATTCATCCTGGTGCATTGGTGGAGGTTAATTCTAAGTTATCATCTTAGGTCTTTTTTGTCTCCTCCTCTGCCCTCTCTCCATCTTGTGATCATCTTCTCTTCTGCAAAAGATCTCTCTAGGGCTGGGGATTTAGCTCAGCGGCAAAGCGCCTGCCTGGCAAGCGCAAGGTCGTGAGTTCGGTTCCTGGTACTGGAGAAAAACAACAAAACAAAACAAAACAAAAAAGATCTCCCTGTTTCCTCTTGTGGGAATGTTTTGAACTACAAATTAAATTCCTTTAATAGATATGGGACAGCTATGGTAATCTCTTTATTCTTTAATGAACTTTGATAGTGTGTGACTTTCAAAAATTTGTTCATCAAAGTTATATGTATTGGCATAAAGCTGTTTATAAAATTCTTTCATCTTTAAATATCTGTAGAATCTGTAGTAATGTCACTTCTTTCATTCCTGATTATTGGCAATTTGTATCTTCTTTTCTTTTCCTGATCAGACTAGTTGGAGATTTATAATTATTACTGATTTTCTCTAAGAACCAGATTTTGCATCCATTGGTTTTTTTCATTTGGTGGCATTGATTTTTCACTTTTCATTATTTCCTTTGGTTTGTTTGCTTTGGTTTAATTTTCTCTTTTTTGCTCTAATTTCTTAAAGTACAAGCTGATATCATTTATTTGAGACATTTTTTGTTTTCTGTGGTTCTTATTTAGTGCTGTAAATTCCCTGTGCTCCTGTAGTTGCACCTTACAAACTTTAATATGTTGTATTCTGATTTTCATCTGTTTCAAATTCTTTCTAATTTCTCTTTGGATTTCATCTTTGAACCATAGGTTATTTAGAAGTATATTGTTTCATTTCTAAGTATTTTGAAATTTTCCAACAATCTCTTTG